ATTTTACCATAGAGTGCCCCAAAACCATCACCAAACAACATCCCCGGCATGATGATGTTGCACGCGGCAACATCATCCCACCCCCAAAAAAGCTCCCTCCCACCCCCCACTGGCACGAGGTAGGAACCTGGCAACCCTACCTCCCCACGTTCTACCCCCCAAATCTCCAGGAACTTCACAATCCTAGGAACAGCAGATCTGCCATGCCCACAAAAAAGTTTTGATGTAAGGTCTTCTTCAACTATGTAAGATCTCCTTTTCTGTGCTCTTACAGGGTGGGAAAAAAACATCCTGTTGAAGCACCCATCCAGGAAGTATGCATGTAAACATGCCCTAAGACTGGCTCTCACACTATGGGTCAGGACCCAAAAGTGGGTCATCAGGCCAGTGGGTCGTGAGGTCATGAGGAAGGAGATGGCACAGAGTGATCTGGGGAGGACGTTCTGTAGGGCTGCCAACTCTGGCTTGGGAAATTCCTGGAGATTTGGAGTCAGTGCCTGGGAAGGGAACCACAGCAGGGAGGTGATGTCACTCTAGGACTTCCATTTCTCCTAGACACCATAGCTCTGGAGGCTGAACTGTATGCTACACCATAGAGTCCAACCTCTGAAGAGATCCCTTCTTCCTAGGGAACTGATCTCTGTAGTCAGGAGATCAGTTGTAATTCCGGGAGCACACCAGGCCCCACCTGCAGGTTGTGACCCTCTCTCGGATGCTGGGTGCATTCAAACGCACCGTTTGATCTGGTGTCGTGACAGTTCAGCAACGGATTTTATATGCACGATCACACAGTCAACATCTGCCTCCTGTCCCCAGCTGTTGGTTTCCGGCTCAAAACCCCTTTAACCCAGAGTATTTTGTTATCAGGTCCCAAAGTGGTGTTTTCTCAGCTCTCCCGTTTAAAGCCGCAGTTTCCCCTGTGTGATCGCTCCTCCGGTGTCAAGCCACTTCCGATGATTTAAACCCCCTCCCCGCTCGGAAGCTGCCCGAGGCTTCCGCTTTTCGGCCGCCATTTTTTGGTGTGTGTTGGAGGTATGCGCATAGGCGGAGCTTCGCTCCCACGTTTTTAAAATCAACATTTAAACGGTCACTAGTTTTGAGTTCGGGATCCCAAAGAGGCCAGTTTCAGGCAAAAATTTAAAGGGAAGTCTTCTGTCAAAGCAGTGAAATCACAGTGCTCTGTCAAGTGAAATGCATGATTTGCCCTAGTGTCTCTGCGCATGTGCGAGGATAAAGTTTTTCAATTCCACGGATGAACAGTTATGCACATGCACAAACTGAGAAAAAAACAAAACAAAAAAACCCGACACACGCTCCCGTGTGATCGCGATTGTCCAGAGTAAAAATAATCGCATTCAGAACTGGACCAGTTTAAACCGCTCTCAGCATGCCATCTGAATGCACCCGCTCAGTGGCAAATTTGGGCTTGCCTCTGTATAAGGTGTGAAACGGATATGAAACACAACCCATTGCTCAGTAATGCTACATAAACAAAAATATCACAAATGACATTTAAATTTGTACACTGTTAACTGATATGGGATTCTTGGCTTGGATTCGGAGTGTGAATTCTGAGTGCACTAGATAGCCCCTACTCTGACGCATGTGTTAGCTTCAGCTAGCACCTCCCCATGTGCAAGGTCTCATTGGGAGCCATTGATCTTGTGGGACTGGATGAGCTAACAGAAAAGGAAGCGTGTTCAGTGGCAAGACTGTCTATCATGGATGGGGCTCATCCACAGGATTCGAGCCCTTGTGTTTAATGTTGGGAAGGGGAAACGTTGTGTGGAATTATTTTGCGAGTAGGCACCAAAAATGGGAGTATGTTTAGAAGTGGGTCTTTCTTTAAAAAAAATATATGACAGTAGTGCTTTCACGGTCCATGTCCTTGGCCAACAATTAGGTTTAGTGGCAAGTCATTCTGAAGTAAAAGTCTACAGGTCCTCCATGGTGGCAGCTACAAGCATAGACAGCTTCAAGAGGGGACTGAATAAACATATGGAGCAGAGAGTTCCATCAAGGGCTATTGGCCAAGAAGTATAGATGGAACACTCTGTCAGGGGCAGTGATGCTTTGGATTCTTAGTCCTTGGGGGGGCACAGTGGGAGGGCTTCTGGAGTTCTAGCCCCACTGGTGGACCTCCTGATGGCAACTGGCTTTTGGCCACTGTGTGACACAGAGTGTTGGGCTGGATGGGCCATTGGCCTGATCCAATATGGCTTCTCTTATGTTCTTAAATAACACGTGGAATTCAATGGCACAAGAGGTAGTGCCGATTACAAGCACAGACAGCTTCAAGAGGGTGTTGGATAAAAATATGGAGCAGAGGTCCATCAGTGGCTATTAGCCACAAGGTATAGATGGAACACTGTGTCTGGAGCAGAGGTCATTTTGGGGGGAACGCGGAGGATCGCAGTTCCCCCGGGTGAGGTACGGGGGCGGGGCACATGATGAAGCCCCGCCCCCTGCTTCCGGCCGCCCCGCTTCCGGCCCTCATTCAGCCAGGAGGGTCTGGAGCAGTGATGCTCTGTATCCTTGGGGCTCGTGGGGCTTCTGGAGTTCTGGCCCCACTGGTGGACCTCCTGAGGGCACCTGGCTTTTGGCCACTGTGTGACACAGAGTGTTGGGCTGGATAGGCCATTGGCCTGATCCAACATGGCTTCTCTCATGTTCTCCCATACCTATCATCCGCACTGCCAGAAAGTGGGGGGTGGTAAAAGAAGGAACGAAGGATCTTCCTTGTGCTCGCAACCACAGATTTGTCTTCGGCAATATCTACACCAGATCTACTCATTTCACCCTCATTGTTTCCCCAACAAACTACCCAAATCGTCCTTGTGTGCATACACCAAGGACATATGCTAAAGAATCCCAATCCTTCAGAGAAACACAGACTCTAGGATTCGTTGGCTGGGAGGTACGATGGCTAGAAAGGTTGGAAATGACTTTGAATTTTCTGTGCTGACCTAATCTCCTGCCCACCTTTCCCCAGATCAAAGAAGGGCTCAGGAAGCAGTTCAAAGAAGTCACAGCCTCCTTTTCATCCTGGGCTCAAAGGAGCACTCAGTCTCAAAAGCATGACAGAAATAAACATAAGCTAACACAAACCTGCGAATAACAGTACAATGCTAGGACAGACCTGCCCTGACTGGATGGCCAAGCCTAGCCTGATCTGGTCAGATCTCTGAAGCTAAGTAGGGCCGGCCCTGGTTAGTACTTGGATGGGAGACCACCAAGGAAGTCCAGGGTTGCTACACAGAGGCGGTCAAGGGCAAGTCACCTCTGAATGTAAATTGCCTTGAAAACTTCCAGGGTTGCCGTAAAGTCAGTTGTGACTTGATGGCACTTTACACACACAGAGGGCAGACCAGCTTGTTGCCGTTTTCCGCATGGGCCTGTCATACTCACTGTCGGTGGGGGGAAGAGTGTAACATTGCTACAGTACACAAGATTGCACTTTGGTCGGAAAATGTAGGAGTAACCGTATTTTTAATGCGCAGAGAATTAAAAGATGGTACAGACAGAGACTCAGAGTTAGGAGGGGATGTGGCTCAGAGGCAGGACACCCGGTTTGCATACAGAATCCCCGGCCTCTCCAAACTGCATATACTCCCGGCATCTGTGAGTTCAAAGGATCTGGAAGCAGGTGATCTGCAAGACCTCCATCTGAGGCCCTGGAGAGCTGCTGCCTGTCAGAGCAGGCAATACTGACCTTGATAAACCAAGGGTCTGACTCAGTAGACAGCAGTTTCATGTGTAAAAGATGTTCTTAATGAAAAAGAGTGGAAAAACTTAACATAGGAGAAGCCATGTAGGATCAGGCCAACGGCCCGTCCAGTCAAACACTCTGGATCACACAGTGGCCAAAACCCAGGTGCAATCAGGAGGTCCACCAGCGGGGCCAGAACTCCAGAAGCCCTCCGACTGCGGCTCCCATAGCACCAAGAATACAGAGCATCACTGTTCCAGATAGTGTTCCCTCAGGTAAAGGTTTCCCTTGCTCGAAAGCCAGTCCAACTCTATGGTTGCAATGCTCATCTCCGTTTCCAAGCCGAAGAGCCAGCACTGCCCAAAGATGTTTCCGTGGTCATGACTAAATGCCGAGGCGCACAGAATGCTGTTACCTTCCCACCGAAGCGGTACCTATTTATCTACTTGCAATTTCTTGCTTTCGAACTGCTAGGTTGGCAGGAGCTGGAACCAGAGGTGGGAGCTCACTCTGTCATGCGGCACTTGGTCTCAAACTGCTGAGCTACTGACCTTTCAGCCTGCAGTTCTTTGTGGCTAATAGCCACTGACGGACCTCTGCTCCCTATAAGAACGTAAGAGAAGCCATGCTGGATCAGACCAGTGGCTCATCCAGTCCTACACTCTGCATCACGCAGTGGCCAAAACCCAGGTGCCCGTCAGGAGGTCCACCAGCAGGGCCAGAACTCCAGAAGCCCTCCCCCTGTTGCCCGCCCCAAGCACCAAGAGTACAGAGTGTCACTGCCCCAGAGAGTGTTCCATCTATCCCTTGTGGCTAACAGCCACCGATGGACCTCTGCTCCATCTGCAAATGTATGTACCATATACAAACTGGCTCTCCCAATGGAGGAGCCTTTCAGGAGTAGAATCCAGGTATGCGAGCATATAATGCGTCAAAAGGGCTCTCCAGCCCTCATCCCTGTTTTTCATTTGCCTTCCTATCTTATCACAAAGGCAAGCACTACAGATTGTCCTTTATCTCATTTTAACCCTCAGGACAACACCGAGAGGTCAAGGAAGTGGAGGGACGGTGTCGTGTCCAAGTCTACCTGGTGCAGGCAGGGAGCTTCCAGGGAACGAAGATCCCTGTCTCAAAGATCCGGAGTCAAAATCCTGTCCCCCGCACCACGCTGCCTTCAGGCCTCCCATCTGCTGTGGCGATCAATTAAACATTTGTGGAGCCACCAAGGCGGAACGTCCCGGCGACCCAGCGAGTGGTTCAGCTTTCCCTCCCCTCCCTCCCGGCAACGTACCTGTTCTCTCTCGGCCTTCCACACTCCTTCCGACACTTGGGTGACCCCGTTCAGTCGTTACTGGCAAACAGCGACATGAAGAAGAGACGGGAAGCGGACGGTGGGGCAGATCTCTGCGGCCAAACTGGCGGGGTTGGCTCCCCGCAGCCCAGAGCGACACGGTTCTCACATCTCAGGTGCTTGGGATACAGGTGTGCCCAGGTGCCACATACCTAGCTGTGCTGCGCCTCTCTCTCCCTCTCCCTCTGTATGTCAAGGTTAACCTGAGAGGGAGCCACTCCCGCCTAAAGTAAACAAGAGCCAAAGGAAGGCTGTGCCCGAGTTTTGAATATTCATGGTGGGAGGAATCTGGACCAAGGTGTGTTGTGGTGGGGGTTTTTTTGCTGCCCCCGAGCTGCTTCTTTTGATGTCACCTGAAAGAAAGAGAAGCCCCCCCCCCCCCCAGACACCAGGGGCCAAATTCCAGAACAGTAAGTGTCTCCCTCGCAAAGCAAAATCCAGTCCCCTGGCAGGTATAATGCAATTCTTAAGCAGAGTTAGACACTTTTGAGCTCACTGATTTAGAAGGGTGTACCTTTGTTTAGGACTGCGCTGCTAGGGCCAAATGTCACAGTTTCTTCAATGAGTAACTTTCACGCAGTGGCTGAGATCAACCTCTTTTTAAAAAGACCACAGGGGCCAATTCAGCTCAGGAATGCAGTCCGTGGGGAAGAATTCTCTTGCCTCGCCCATTCTGTTTTCCTGAGCCGAAACATCCCTGGGGGAAAGTTACTTGCCCATTCTGAAGCTGCTGCACATGTGTGGGATATGGCACATACATAGGGTTTCCAACCTCCAGGCGGCACCTGGAGATCTCCTGCTATTACAACTGATCTCCAGACAACCAAGATCAGTTTCCCTGGAGAAAATGGCTGCTCTGGAGGGTGGACTTGAAGGCAATTATACTCTGGTGAAGTCTCTCCCACTCCAAACCCCACCCTCCCAAATCTTCAGGTATTTCCCAACTCAGAAGGGCAACCTTACACATACAGCTTCCAAACAGGACAAACAACGCCCCCTCCCCAAGGCCAACTGGGGTCAGGAAAACAATGTAGGGAGAGAAGTTGAAGGGTCTTCCCCCAAATAATGGTCCCAATCCAAGTTAGGCTCCTGTGGAACCTGAAAAATTAGCTCCCCAAACCTGTTTGGCTGTGCAAAAAGCGAGTCGGGAGAACCTGGATCCAACTCGTTTAAAGAGGGAACACCTAGTTTGGCCCTTTCTTCCAAGCGAACCCTATGGTTAGCATTTTTCCTTACGGCTGAACGAGATTTGAATCTGGACTCCCTCCATCAACTCGGAATGCTCTAACTACAACACGGCACTGTCCTGAAGGCTGGTTCACCCAAGTCATTCTATAGCTCAGCACTCAATCTGCTGAGTGGGCAGAACTGCATCTGTTTAAAGTTATTTTAAAAGTTATTTAACGTGATCCCTGTGAAAACTTTAGGGCATTTTCACTGCACTATTATATGTATTTCTCGGTTCTTAATGGCAATGCTTTCTAATTTTGTAATCCAGCTTTATTGCACTGTGTATTGCATGCTCTTTTGTGTGTGTATTGAATACTTTTTTTGTTGCATTTTACTCCAGTTTTGTAACCCTGTTTTATTGCATTGCTCTTTATATGAATTATACTGTCTGTTCTTTTAACTGTGTCATCTGCCTTGGGTCTCAGCAAGAAAGGCAAACTATCAATGAGATAAACAAGTGAATAAAATGATAACGGGTGACACGAAATGTTTGTCAACAGCGTTTCAGCTCTGACAGCATTTTCGCACATGCAAATCACTGTGTGATGTTTCCAAAATCCAAGTGACAAACTTCTTTGTGTGAACGCACCCTCAAGAGCAATGCTCCCTCTAAGCTGTGGAGTCTTGTGAGCAAAAATTCTACTTTATGAGCTACTGGCATTAAAGTTGTGAGCGAGTGAGTTGACTACTATATAAATTAGTTTGCTCTGGAGCCATCCTTCCTGAGCTAAGACAAAGATGTGTGAGCCGGAGGCTAAAAAACTGTGAGCTAGCTCACACTACCTCAGCTTAGAGGGAACACTGCTCAAGAGTAGTGACTTTAGGGTTGCCAGCCAGTTGCAACTGGCAGGAAATTCCCATAGGGTGAAGAGGCAGAAATGACATTGTGTGATGTAATTTCCGGCCAAACAACCAGAAGTGACGTCACTGCATCAAAGCAACAGTCTAGGAATCTCTTCAGTCTCTGTGGTTGTTACCATAGAGATCTGGGGGATTCCTAGAATGTCACATCACTTCTGGTTTTTCAGCCAGAAATGATGTCGCAGTGTTGTGCAATGCCACTTCTACCTCCTCGTTTCCTCTCACTGCTCATTCGAGCAGCGGCAGGTAGGCGGCGGGGGGGGGGGATCCATGGAAGCCCTCCCACTGAAAGTGGGTAAATGGCACTCTTGACCTGAAGGCAAAAGACACAGTGACTTGGGGAGATGGTACTCTTATGCCATCATCGTTTCCGCACCTTCCCACTGTTTACGGTGCAATCCCACAACTACTTTCCTGGCAGTGAGCCTCATTTGGTAGGCTTATTTGAGGAGACCTGCTTCGTATTGTACTCTTGATGCCAGCTTTGTGTCTGTTCTTATCCGGTACAGATCAGCCTGCTTTGCTTATGTAAAAATGCAAGAGACTTTGAGGCAAGTGATGGCACAGCTAACACCAGAAGGATAATACCACCACTCTAGCGGACTGCTCCCCCATCACACCTCTTGGCATCTCATCCTTTCAAAACGGGGACAAAATGCAAAGGAGGCATGGAGCATCTGGATAAGAGATACCTGCACAACCCAGTGGGACACATTGGATTCACTGCTGCTCTGTAGTCTTGGTGCTTGGAGGGCAAAAGTGGGAGGGCTTAGCCCTGACCTGGATAGCCCAGGCAAGCCCAATCTCCTCAGTTCTTGGAAGCTAAGCAGGGCCAATCCTGGCAAGTACTTGGATTGGAGACCTCCAAGGAATACCAGGGCCGGGAGGCAGAGGCAGGCAATAGCAAGCCACCCCTCTGAAACCTCCAAGCCCCACTAGGGGTCGCCAGAAGTCAACCATGACTTCCAGGCACACACACACACACACACTACTCACAAAAAACAACAACAATGAGAGGACTTCTGGAGATCTGGCCCCGCTGGTGGACCTCTTGTTGACAGCTGGGTTTGGGCCACTGTGTGACCCAGGGTGTTGGACTGGATGGGCCATTGGCCTGATCCAACATGGCTTCTCTTATGTGCTTACGTCCATATCAGTAGGTGAACACAGATGTTTCTGTAGACTGGCAAATCTGCCCACTCCCACCAGCTACAATACCATGTTTGCATAGCTTCCATCATTGTTTTTTATTACTTAATGAGCTCCTGTCAGCATGCCTGGCCCTTTGCAAAGCTTCATCAGCAAGACAAACTGGGTTACCAACTCTAGTTTGGAAAATCCCTTGAGATTTGGGGGAGAGTGCCTATGGAGACCAGAGTTTGGGGAGAAAAGGGGAGATCAGTAGGGACATGATGTCACTCTAGGGCTTCAGTTTCTCCTAGACTCTGTGGTTCATCACATTATCCACCCTCTGAAGTGGCCCTTTTCTCCAGGGGAACTGATCTCTGTACTCAGGAGATCAGATGTAATTCCAGGAGATCTCCAGGCCCTACCTTGAGGTTGGTAACCCTACCCAAGCCTCCAATAGGCTAATGGGAGGCAGGAGGAGACAGCCATCTGCTCCACCAGTAGGATTGCAAGCTCTGGGCTGGGGAATACCTTGAGATTTTGGGGGTGGAGCCTGAGGGGGCAGGGTTTGGGGAGAGGAGGGGCTTCAATGGGGTAGTCACAGAGCCCACCTTCCCAAACACCCATTTTCTCTGTTGCCTGGTGATTGGTCATAATAGCGGGAGATCTCTAGCTACCACCTGGAGGTTGGCTACCCTGCCCACCAGTCTCCCCAGCATAGGGAAAGCAGCAGAGGATCTGTCTCCTGGTTCCTGGGCTCAACTTGCTTTCCTATTCCAACGTACTTGGTGTTTCCAGACAGTGGTGTGACTGGCAGGTTAAAATAATGCAGAATCATGCCTATTTACATCATATATGCCAGCTACAGAATTCATATTTTCTGGATACAGGATTGGATTTCTATTCGCACAGAAGTCTTATTTAGTTGTAGATTTTCCGGGCTGTGTGGCTGTGGTCTTGGCATTGTAGGACGTTTCGCCAGCAGCTGTGACGCATCCTCAGAGGTATAACCAGGGGTCATTTCCTGCAGGAGCGCACAGGAGCGGAGCTCCAGCAGTAAAGAGCCCAGGGGGCAGGCACATGCAACAAGCCCCACCCCCTGCTCCCAGCAGCCCTCAGTCACAGCAAGAAGCAGCCAGGTAAGCTGCAGACCCCCCGACCCCCTGGTCCAAAACAGTCCAGTGGCACCTTTAAGACCAGGTTTTATTCAGGTACAAGCTCTCCCTCTTCTGTGAGGGACAGATTTGCATGTCCCCCCCCTCCAATAGCTAGCAATCCAAAACAGTCCAGTGGAGCCTGAGCGGTGGGTGTTGCCTTCTGACACACTTCCGGTGATGTCGGGGGTGTGGCACACGCAAATGAGTTATGCTAATGAGCTCCTGCACCTCTTTTTCTACTAAATGACCCCTGGGTATAACACAGAAAGATGGAGTACTTGACACAGAGAGTACTCCATCTTTATGTGTTCTACCTCTGAGGATGCCAGTCACAGCTGCTGGCGAAACGTCCGGTCCTACAATGCCAAGACGACGGCCATACAGCCCAGAAAATCTACAACTAATGAACTCCAGCCGTGAAAGCCTTCGGCAACATATAGAAGTCTTGTTTCTTTGTGGTAGCAAAGAGGACACACATCTCAGCAAGGGGTGGTGGGAAGGGGCTCAGCCTACTGACACATGTCCTTTGCAAGCACTTCTGGCAGATTCCCATAAACTGTGGAGTCGAAATCATTTCCTGCGCCCTCGAGGAACCACGAACGAGCGTGTGCGGATCTGCAAAAAGGAAAGCAAAGAGTGTCAGGCCTGGGACTTGGGAGAGTCTTCTCTCTGATATGGACAGAAGTTCACTGGACTACCTTAGGCTCAGTGTTGCCAACTGTGGGTGCACAAATTCCTGGA